CCCAAAACACCCAATCAAAGATGGTGACTTACTACACAAATATGTGCTGGTTGTGTGTTCAGGGTTTTTCCGTCTTGTTAGATGATGCCATGATTATGTGATAACAAGACCCAGACAAACATCTGGAGTTACAACTGTCCGACACATCTGTAAATGTACATCCAGCTACACGTGTGTTAACTTTGCAGTGTGAGCCTTAAAATCCAGTCTAAAAAAACCAAAACATTCATTTTAAACCTAATTTGCTGCATAAATAGGCCTTTAATAATTATTAAAGGTAAAGCTGCTGCTTTTCATGAATTTTAAACAAAAATCATCTTGTAATTAAAAAGGGGGACAAAGTTAAAATCAACCTTAGATACTATCTCAAGCAATACTGTGCAGCAACTACCACTCCAAGTTAAGTAGGTGTATATTCAGCCACGTTGTAGCCATTTGTTGTTGGCGGCCATCTTGAATTAATTTGACTCTAAAAGTTAATTAGTTGCAAACATGCAGCCAGCAAGTACTTTTGTAGAGTTTAATTTACATCTCTCCTGAGGTTTAAAAGATATTTCTCTAAAAAAAGACAAACATGGTTGATGTCAAGTATTTATTTTATTAACCTTTTTATTTAAACAGACAACTCCCATTGAAATCGCAGCATTTTTTCAAGGAGGCCTGAACCTGAAGCCTAACATGCACGTTCTTTGGACTGTGAAGTACCCGAAGAAAACCCACGCAAACATGATAACTTGCAAACTCCACCCAGAACTCAAAGTCCAAACCGGGGATTGAATCCAGGGCTTTTTTGCTGTGAGGCAACGATGCTAACCACTAAACCACCATGCTGCAAAAGTGTTGATAGGTTTTAAGTAAAAAGCGTAGCATTGAAAGTGTGTTGGGGATGATGCTCAGCTACTGCTACACCAAAGTTCAGCTTAACACCTTAAGACTGACTCGGCACTTGGAGAGTGTTGGAGATAAGTTCAAATCTGAGCTCATTATATATGTAAATTGAGATTGACATTTTTGTGTTAAAGTTTGCTGAACTGTAATATAATCATCCTGAACGGGGCCGATTCCAACGGTCACTCAGTTGTAGATTGACGTTTGCTAATTAATTTCAGAGCGTTTCACTCAAATCCGTCCAGTGGTTCAGGAGATAAGTTGCACAAATCAACACACACGCAGACATGCACCAACACATTTATGACTCTGCCTTCATCGGTGGGTAATAACGAGAAACGACTTTAGAAAACACAGTTAAGTGAAACATACTGTAGATGAGATGGAACTGGTGAAACAAATCCAAAAGCAGCACGACAGCCTCATGTTAGAACCACAGAACTGATGCAGGTTGTTGCATCACAAACTATTTAAGTTTTCCTGAATCTGGCACTAAACAAGTTGTTTGTTTTTTACCCAAGGTGCCCTGTGAGTCTCATCAATCTTCAGGCTTCACAGTTCGTTTTACTGCATTCATCACTCTGGCCTTGTCTGTGCAGGTTTTCTATGCAGAATGAATCCATTTGTCTCCACTGATGGAAACTAATTGCAAAGCAAACAAATCATCTCTGCCACATTGAGCAGGCTCCCACTCCCGGGGCACAGCAGCTAGATAGCTGCAGGAAAGAGACTGTCACGGAGATTACCACGGAGGAAAAGGAAGCAGAGCAAAGAGAAGGATGGAGAAAGTTAGGAGCAAAGTGGTCTGGAATCTGCATTATCTATATGTGCAGAGCGGTAAAAAGCAGTGTTGGAGAAACGGATGCAGTGGGACTGACAGACTACCGTACTTTCCGCCGTACATGTTGCACCACCGTATAACTCATGAGTATGTCTATGGGGAAAAAAAAACACAAATATGTCTCTCCGTCGTATACGTCGCATCATTATGCATCACCACTGACAACCCGGAAATGTGGACCGGTGCTGTGCCACAAATCGATTGGCTGACAAATGGCAGCCAAGGAAGCGTGCATGTTAGGACTTTAACAATAATTTAACAAGATTAACACCTAAAAACAATTATTTGTTTGCTCGACATTATAGTAAAGGTGTCTCAGTTGAACTTTTCCTTAAATTCACTTTAATGGTCAAATCAGCTGCATTTCGCCTGGGAGGTGCGGCAAAATGCAGCTGATTTGACGTTTGCGCCAGGAGTTCTGGAGCGAGATGAAGGTGGCCCTGTATGGCAAGCAAAGTGTCTCATTAATAGCTACTTTTTTACTAATTTATTTATTAATGAGACACTTGGACTGCCATATTACTCAAGGGCCATCTAGTGGCTGAAAATGGTAGTGTTCAATATTTTCCATGTCAGAATAAATGAAATCGTCAGATCTCGGACAAAAATTGGTTTATAAATATGGGGGCAGAAAAAAACATAAATCTCTTCACTGTATAAGTTGCAGCATAGGCGTCGCAACCATTATATGTGAAGAAGACATTTCCCCTCCACATTAAAAAAAACTTTCATTTGGACCCCCCCCCCTGTCAAATTGCACCAATTAATTTCAGAATAAACTTGTTTGATTTCTTACAATGAGTACCTTTTTTTAATGTGTGAAACACACGTTTGCACATTTCCTGTGTGATGTTGGAACATGCCTGGGATAGGGTCCGCTTTCCTTTTGAGTCGCCCAACCATTTGCCAGAGATTCCTCAAGGCAGACCAAAAGTCCTTCTCCGTTGCCTCCCAAAATCCCTCCCACATCTGAGTTTTGCTTCCACAACCACAGCAGCCACAGTTCTTCTGGACACCTTGTATCTGTCAACTGCTTCAGTAGACCTCCAGAGTAACTAAGTCCTGAAAGCCTCCTTCAGCTTGATGACCTCCAACGCTGGTGTTCACCAGCGGGTCTTTTGGTTGCCACCCCAACAGGCATCGGTAACCTTCAGGCCACAGCTCCTGGAATCTACATCAGAAATAAAGGCCCTGAACATGGCCCATTCAGATTCCATGTCCCCCACCTCCCACAGGACGTGAAACTCTGAGGTCTAAGTTGAAAGCCGCTCGGACCGAGGGCTCCACCAGATGTTCCCAATTTAACCTCTCTATGCATTTACATTTACCAGGTCTGTCCAGCATCATCTCACCACCAGGTGGTGATCTGTTGAAAGTTCTGCCCCTCTTTTCACCTCAGTGTCCAAGACGTAGGGCTGCAGGTCGGACGCGATTGCAAAATTGATCGTCGACCTCTGGCCAAAGGTGGCCTGGTACCAAGAACACTTATGAACCACCTTATGCTCAAACGTGGTGTTCGTCATGAACAACCCATGCGTAACACAGAAGTCAAATTAATGGACACCATTGGGGTTCAGATATGGGAGCCATTCCTCCCAATCACCCCCTTCCAGATGAGTCCGTCATCGCCCACATGGGCACTGAAGTCACCCAGTAGAACAAAAATCCCCAGATGGCACCCCTTCCAAGACACCATCCAGAGACTCTAGAAAGGCTATGTAATCTGAACTGATGCTTGGAGCATGAACACAAACAACATTCAGAACCTTCTCTTCTGAAGCTCGAGGCTGCAGAGAAGCAACCCTCTGAATCACCAAGGAAAGCTCCAACACCAAGATATTCAGCCGGGGGCTTGAGTACCCCCGCCCAATGCCTCTCTCCCTGGGCAACTCTGGAATAGGAGAGAGTCCAAGCTCTCTCCAGGAGTTGAGTTCTAGAACCCAAGCTGTGCATAAAGATGAGTCCAACTATATCTAGTTGGTGCCGCTCAACCTCACACACAAGCTCTGGCTCCTCACCTGCCGGTGATTTGACATTCCACATATGCAGAGCTAGTCTATTCTACCAAGAATTGGCATGGCTAGGGACCTTTCCTCACCTGCCGCTCGACATGTACATCACCCAACCTTGACAGACCTACACACAGGTGATAGGTACACCTGGAGGGGGTTTCCCATTATTTATTTGGGCTTGGTCCAGCTGAGCCCCTGGAGCCAAAGTTTGCCACCGAGCACTTGCCAACAAGCTCCAAAGCCAACATCCATGTAGGGTGGCCAGGCTCATCCTTAGAGATGGGGTGAGGATCTCCATCATCCGGAGGAAGCTCTGAGTACAGCCGCTGCTTCTCCGCACCAAAATGTGCCAGTTGAGATGGTTCGGGCAGCTGACTAGGATTCCTCCTGGATGCCTTCTCTTGGAGGTTTTCTGGGCACATCCCACTGGTAGGAGGCCCTACGGAAGACTCAGAAGTTCCTGTAGGGATGGTGTTTCTGATTGGGCCTGGCAACATCTTGGGGTACCCCCAGAATGAGCTGGAAAATGTTGCTGGGGAGAGGAACGTCTGGGTTTCTCTCCTGAGCCTTTTGCCTCAGTGGCCAGTGATGCGTCTTGGAGCAAAGCAATCTGCTCCTCAGATAACTGTTATTATCTTAGTTTTTAGATATATGAATGTTTCTGTTCAGTGCCCTGAGATGACTTCTGTTGTGACTTGGTGCTTTATAAATAAACTGAACTGAACTGACCCGACTATGGATAAGCAGTAAAAGATGGAAGGATAGTCTTTTCTGTGAGGGATGTTTGCACAAATAGTCAAATTTGTTCTGTAAAGTTTTTTTAGGCTTCTCTCTTCTTCAGGGGTCCCCACAGCAAGCATCCATGAATGATTTGGCAAAATGTTTCATTCTCTTCCTGGTGCAACATAGACTTCAACCTGCAGCGTCAGGATTATGAGACAATTTGGGGGGATAGATGTCTGGATCTGGATTTGACTCAAAAACCAAAACCTCTAGTTCAGTGAAAATGTCATTGCTTATGCTATGTCGCCCTCTAGTGGCCAAAATAAGCACAATCAAGATTTTAGATGGTAAACGGTTCTCAATGGGGTGTGGAACAGAAAGAAGGCAGAAAGTTCAGCTTGGATTATATATTTATCCTTTGTCATGCCTGTGCAAGAGAAGCAAAGCTAGAAATTAATTTGTTCACACATTCACATTTGTTAGATTTTTATTGAAATTGAGTGAATCATTTCTAAATGTGTGCTCAGAATTCACCTGCCATGTTTTTAAAATTACAATTTGTTTAATTGGTTTGATCAGTTTTCCAAAATGAGAAATGATGCTCGTACTGTATATCTCACTGATTCAGTAGTTCCTAAAACAAGTTGGAAGAAGCTGCAAATAATCTGAGTGAAAGTTTGAGGATCCTGTTCCCATCTTTCCAGGAAGCGCTGATAATTTGTTTGGGATCTGAGGTTTCAGTCTCACGGCTGCTGCTACACGAACACCTCCAAAAAGCAAAGGTGGACCTGGATGTGGATCCATTCATCACTAAAGTCTCCTTGTGTGTTTTAATTTTCTGTCTAAATTGTGTTTATACATTTCGCAGCAGCCAGTTAGGAGGCGAGATCCCGGACTGGGAGAAGTAGCTCCACCACCATGGCTTCTCTTCCCGCTCCACTCCGCCCTCAGCAACGTCTGCATCCCTGTAGCGTTCAAACTGGTTGTAGGGGTCGAAGCGATCCCAGGTGTCCACCATGGGGAAGAGGTGGTCGTCAATGTCCGGCTCGACGGGAAGCTGCATGCGGGATGGTGGGGGAGCGGAGGAGAGGCATGAGAGAACTCCTTTTGCAAAAGGTAACATTTCTCATCAGGTATTTGTACATTCATAGTGGAGTTTTAATGCAGAGGTTTTATTTGTACATTCATAGTGGAGTTTTAATGCAGAGGTTTTATTGGGTTTTAACCTTTTTTTTTTTTTTTTTTTTTTTTTTTTTTAGGAGAGAATACATTTTGTGGGGGGGGGGGAATGCATAGAAAATACTATGTACAACTATACATTTGATTGAGTATTCCACTGTTTAGAGTTCTCTATCAGTTTAATTAGTGCTTTTATTACAAACATAGGATCTACTAATTCTAGATACACAATTACTGCAAGTTCAATAGAGGATTTTTATCCAAATGATAATTGTGTTTGAAAATATAGATTTGAAACGATTGTGATAAATGGAAGATGGAGATCCAAACCTTTTCCAGGACAAAGTCGACCCGTCCAGCTTTGTTCAGGTTGTGGGGCAGAAACACTCGTTTACTGACCCTTGAGTAACCCTTAGCTGTAGCTGTCAGAATGTGAGTGCCAGGATTCAACAGCCTCCAGTAATCCCCATTTTCAGCTGAAAGCAGGTTCAGTACATTTAGTCAATTTTAACAAATCTAAAATAACTGTGTTGCACCTGATTTTTACTTTTGAAGCAAACATCTTGCTTCACTGTAGCTTAATACCAAACAGTTCTATTAAATGCAACCCTGTATTAGTTTTACCTGTAGTGACATCTTTTCTAATCCCTCGCACAGCGACGGTTGCTCCCTTTATCCCATTTCCATCGGAGTCCTTAACAACACCCTTAATTCCTCGATGCACCTGTTCAGAGACAAGAAGTTTGGCCACAAGTACACTAAAGTAGCTCCTTTACTTATTTTCTGGTTACTTGCATGTACGCAGCAGCAGGAACTTACAGACTCAAGGAAACTGAGCAGGGCTTCTTTATTTCTCTTCCATTCTGGGTAAAGCTCGGCCTCTGAGGGGAATTTGTCACAGCCGAGCTCCACTGTGATCTCCAGACAGTTTGTGTGCAGGTAATTGAAGTCGGACATACCTGCAAGGAGATGTGCACGTTTTCTTCAAAAGCAACAGGAAGAATGTAAGTAACTCCGTAATGTGCTAAACGTTTCTCACCACCAGCAAAGCTGTACCACTCCGCTCCGTTGATGATGCCCCTCGACCGATAGAAGGAGGCGCCGCACCTCTCTGTGTCATTGTTCGACATGGTGGCGTGAGCATCAGCATAGGTACGAGCCAGCTGCTTGAACGCCTGATGATGGAAGAGAACCGTCAGTGTAGATATTCTGTTTTACTTATCCAGTCAAAAGTCTGATTTATGAAACCTGTTCATCGGGAGTGGGTGAAAACATCCTCTCCTCGTTGGGATGTTTGGAGAAGTCGAAGGGGTAGGAGATCACCAGCTCTCCTCCATGGAGGCTGGCAGACTGAACAAATGGCAGTGACCTGATCCACTTCATCACTGCATAGGTCTCTGGCGCCACCTACAGCTCAAAGTTGAGATTGCAGCGTTAGGCATCCAGGTTGGAGCACTGGTCACTGCAGGTGAATCTCAACAATAACTTTATATTCCCACCTTTCCAAACCAGTAAGCATCTGGGATGGGGATGTGGTCAGTACGGAAGTGCCTGCTGCGTCTGCTCCGGTAGAGAATGGACGTAAGGTCCGGAAAGTTGCGGTTCAGGTCGATATTCTGGGCGTTGGTCCGACCATTTGTCCAACCATTTAACAAGTGACCCTTGAACATTTAGGCAGGGATATTAAACAGTGTGCAAATGGTCAAAGTGATTTAAATAAATAAAAAAAAATGGTGTTGATGTGTAAACGTTAGCAAGAACAGGAATTACATGAAATATTTTATTAGTGAGAAGTTCTAAGAGTTCGTTAGACTATTTTTGTTAAATCCATTGTTAACATGTAGACAAGACCATGTATCCGTTAGAGCCAAATCTAAAGAGGCTTTAAAAACTTTGTTTTAGATTTAGTCAGTGAAGCAAAATAGAATTCTTCAGAAATATTTGCAAAAATCTACAAGTCTTACCCATTTTTACATTTTGCTTTTTTAAATATAAATGAAAGCAAACTATAAAAGACTAGGTACAGCTTGAGATTTTTGTATGATTTCATATTCATGCACACATATAGAAACAGTTTCCTTTTCTATATGTTTAACTTTAGGTAGAAGCCACCATGTTTTATTTTATTTTTTAAAGGATGGCCAAAGATTTACTGTAATTACCAGAACCAGTACATGCAAGAGTGTTAGAGTAGTTTTACTTATATCTTTTATTAGAAATTTGGTCAAGGAAAGCCAAAGTCCAAACATTTATTAAAAAATGTTTCCAACGTGTGCATTTTTATATCCAAATTTGAGTAAAATACTAAAACGCCATGAAAAAACTTTTATCTGTTCTGAATCAAACAGCAGCGCACACGACAACATGCACACATTCAGTTCAGATATGCTCAGTCACGTTTAATGAGCTAAAACTATTTTTAACCAAAGACTTTAACATGTTTGAGACATGCTAGATTTAAAGTTTCTGTCTAAGAGTTCAAAAGCTTAAATTATAAACAGGCCTGTAGAGAGAAAGCATGCTCATGCAGATTTCCCACTGCCAGCTAAAGTGTTCAACCTAGTCTCAGAGTTTTAGGAACTCTGATAAAGTAAAAACTGAAATGTTTTCCTTTTTTATTTTTTATTATTCGTGCTTATCTTGACGTTACTGGTTGATCACTTAGTCTGAAAGTGGGATGAGCTCTTCTGGAACAGCAGGACTAGAGAATAGGAAGTAGAAACTTGGGTACTCTGGTTTCTTAGAGCTTCCATGACAAAATGGAAGTATGTATTTAGCAGAGTACCCCATCTTCAACCTCCACAGCAGAAATGAAGAGTGGACTGACAGCGGATAATGGCGGTTTGTCTTTGTTTCTGTTAACAATATTTACTTCCTGGTTGGAGAACTCCGGGTCATTGTTATCCTCTACCTCTGAGGCGGCCAGCTCGTAGCCGTCGGGGTTCATGGAAGCCAGGATGTGGATGCGAGTGGTGTTTATGATGGTCTGAATTCTCTCGTTCCCCAGATTATACTCGGAACACAGGTACTGGGCCAGATAGATGAGCAGCTGACGGCCCAGCACCTCGTTCCCGTGCATGTTGCCCACCAACTTGATCTCTGGCTCGACTACAGTGGAAGGACAGAATCCCGTTAGAATAACGCAGCAGAAACGTGTAGCTCAAAGTTCATTATTTTAGAAAAGCACACATCCAGCAGAGAGGAACCAAACCTAACTTTCTTTCTCATTTATTTTTTTATTTATTTTTGTTCATCTTGCTGCAGCTAAAACAACAAAGCTGAGAAGCTTGGGCACAGCTGAAACATTTTATTTTCTGGTAATCGGTCAGTCAAGAACAATTTGTTTATATAAGATATTACAGAGAAGCTTGGATTGTTAGTTCCATGTACGAAGGTGTTAAAACAGTCAGAACCGGCAAAGGCTACACAACAGCATTTGAGATTAAAGTTGGCGTTCATCAAGGTTCATGTCTCAGCCCACTGTTTATTGCTGTAATGGAAGAAGCCACTGAGCTTATTAGGAAAGAAGTAAATAAGTGGTAAATGGACTGTACTTGTATAGCACCTTTCTATCTTATCAAGACACTCAAAGCGACGTGGGATGTGTTTTATGCAGATGACCTAGGCGTGGCTGAAAGTATCTTGAAGAGTAACTTCAGAATCTCCAGACAGAGGCAGCAGGAGCTTGAAATTAAAGGTCTGAAAATAAACTCTGCTTTCAAGCAGACCATGGTCTCTGTTTTTGCTAACAAGACCTTAACAATTACTGATAATAGAGGAAATGTACAGGTTGAAACGTTCATGAATCTGCGGTTGATAATAAATGCCAAAGGAAGCTGTGAAGATGTTAAGCGCAGAATTGGTGCGGCGTGGCAAAAATGGAAGGAGCTGACAGGAGTGCTTTGTGACAAAAGGATGCCGATTCATATTAAAGGGAAAGTGTACAAGATGATGATGATGATGGGCCCAGTCTTGCTGTGTGGAGCTGAGGTATGGACATTAAAGAGAAAAGGAGCTCCTGGAAAGAATAGAAATGTGGATGTGACATGGGATTCTTTGAGTATCCCTCAAGGATAGTAGGCGAAATGACAATATCAGAAAAACACTTGGCGTGGCATGCGTCATGGATAAGATGCAGGGATCAAGACAAAGATAGTATGGCATGTGCAGCGAATGGAAGACAACAAGGTAAAAAGGCTATTTCACGCAGGGGATGGCAGAAGAGGTGGATGGATATGATCCAGCAGGATACGGACACTCCATCTCACAACAGACGATACACAAAATAGAGCAAAATGGAGAGGGAGAGTCCATGTGGCTGACCCTGCTCTAAAAGGAGCAGGAAATACAGCCTGAAGGAGACGGACACTTTATATGATTTTAGGTCACATTTATGCAGAAATATAGAAAACTATAAAGTTCACAAACTTTCAAGCACCACTGTAGTTTGATAATTGATAATCCGTCAGGACATTTTGACAAACACTAACCATGTTACCTAGAAGCCACCAACGCAGGATTAAAAAAGAGTCAGTAATTAATTAAACAAAAGTTAGTGTAAAAAAGTATCAATGCAAAAAGTGAAGGCTTTTATTTAACTTTTTTTTTTTAAATAAATGCAGCTGCAAATAATTAAAGAGTCATGCTTTTAAAAGGAGCTGAGGTGAAGAACTTCTTGGGGCTTGAGTTGTCTGAATGTCCTCTTTCTACAATGTTTCTGACACAAACAAAATATATTTCTTGCATCCCTTCATTGATGCTTTCAGCCGTGGTCTCCTCCAAGTTAAGACAAACCTAGTGAGCCCACCCTCGCCCCACTCACGTAGCTCATGCTGTCCGGGGTTGTTGGTGAACTCGATCACCAGTAGATCTCTGCCCTCGGTGCTGCGTCCGATGCTGTACACGTGAGAGATGTGGGAGCACTTGGCTGCAGTCCTCTTCAGTAAACTGTTCATCTGGACGTTGGAGGTGTAGGTGAACTGGATGATGGTGCTGGGTTCCTCAGGAGACAGACTGGACAGCGCTACCTCCTGCTTGGCTGGAAGAGACGAATGGGAGAAAATTGGGAAGGAGAAAGGAAAAAAAGCTGTCCGTCAGTTTTGGTCAACATACAACACAACTTTCACTTTTACCTCTCAGCCCGGCTAGAGGGTCAAAGCATCCTTCTTCTTCACTGGCAAAGAAGCGGTCGCAATCCAGGAAGTAAGGCCAGGCCATCTCGATGGCCTCGAACGCATGGCTGCAGTCCTTCCTCAGGGCCTCGCATGAGCTGCGGCACGGTTTGACCATCTTGTTTTCCCGGCAAGGCGAGGCCAGAACGGAGCAGCCGATGAGGCGGATCTCAGGGGAGCACTCGCCGTTGAGCAGACCATGGATGACGCTCAGGAGGAGGTACTCTGCCCCCGACTCTGCCTCCAAACGACTCCGGTGACCAAGGATGTTGGGGAATATTGTTCTGCACATACAGTGTATAGAATGTTCTATTATCAGGATTTACGGAAGCTTTTGTTCACTCCTTCAGCTAATAGGAATTTCCACTAACACAAGCTTTTCATTTTTATTTTCACCTCATCTTTATCTAACCAGACCTAAACGCCAAGATAAATTCTTATTTACAGAGTTGGCCTGGTAGCACCAACAGGTTCTTGTAGGGTCGAGGGAAGGGAAACGATATTAACACGAGACTTTATCTATATAGAAATCTATCTTCAATGATGCAAAATGCATCATTGTTGAAAAACCATTCTATATATGGAGACACAATTTACAGACATGATTGTAAGAGTGTCCTTCGTAAAATGGACAGTTTATCACACTGTCTGCTATTGGCTTTGTTACAAATGCTGCTATAGAACACGTCACCTCTACCTTAGATTGTAAAACATTAACATGATGTGAAAAGGACAGAGCTCCATCAATCCAAATGCCCAAATATTTATAATCTGTTAAGTCTTCTATAATATGTTTACAGTGGTGAAGTCCACCGAGGCGGGTGTGGTTCCTTCTCCAAGATCGAACCACATAAATTTAGATTTCTTGGCATTTAAGGACAAATTTAAGTCAGAAAAGAGTTGATGGATTAAAAAAACACATGCAAGGGACTTCACAACCTTATCTCGAGTAAAACCAAAATCATATAAAATAGTGTCACTGACATATAAATGGATGGAGTCCTCACTAACAGAATGTGAGATATCATTTATAAATATGGGAAAAAAAGTTGTACCAAGAAGGGAGCCTTGGGGTACACCTGACATAACCGGAAGAAACTGAACAATCGTTCCATGGAGACTACACAACCTGATTTATGACTCACCTTGAGTAATCCATATCGTTACAGTAGCCGAGGTTCATTTCTGTGCAGGCAGCTGATGGAAACACACGACTGTTAGCAGGAGAACTGATTATGTGCACAGCCTGATGGTCAGTTCTGATCCAGAGTTCAAGCACATTTATAACAAAAAAATAACAGTTTAGGTTTTTTTAAATCAAATAAAGATAAAGCTTTCAGTATAAGCTAATATCCTCATCACCCACCTCCCAGAAATGAAAGTTTTGCTCATGTGTTTAATGATTATTTTTACTAACAGTACAAACAAACAAATGTATAGTTTGATATTGACCCATTTCAAGATGGCCACCAGCTAATACAAACACATAAATGTCTAACTCCATGAACTTTGAACATACTGAGCCAAATCTGAAATTACTTAATATTTTCTGTCAACAAGCTCAGGTTACATGCACATCCATATCCAACTAAGACCATAAAGTTTGGAACAGCTGAGCTTTGTGTAAATGTGCACATTCTGCTAATTAAATTTATTTATTCCCATTCAGTGCACTTTGGACAGAAAATGAAAGAGATGACCACCCACGTGTTTCTTCCTGTGTGCTGCTTCTGCAACCTCCTGCTGGAGAAAACAACGCAACATGAAATAAAAAACCATAAAATTAAACATAAGTAGTTCGTAAATTAACCGCCAGAGGGAGACAAAGCAAGAACTTTGTACTTAAAGTCTACAAAGTACAAAGACATGATGGGGCAAGTACAACCAGTAAGATTTAATCTATGTTGTGTGAAAATCATAAATTAAAAATTAATGAGCAGTTAAATGACAAAACCATCTGCCGACCACTGGAATCAACCAGTGTGGTCTGAGTTTTCCTGACCTCCCAGGTTTTTCCAGCCCCCCACGCGCATGCATTACAGCGCAACCGAGCGCGCACAGATCTTACCTAAAAACTGGTTTCCAGGCTCACATCTCTGCTGCGGAGCGCACCAACAACTTCTGGTCAAGAAAACCAGGAGCGTCCAAAAAAAAGCGTGCATGATGCGGCGCGTGATGTGGCAGTGTGCGCGCGCGCGTGTGACTTTGAAGCAGCTACTTTTCCTCTGCGCTCCTTGATAATTACCAGAGAGCCCTCCCTCCTTTGTCTGCTGCGCGGAGCATCCCTGACCCGAGATCAGGCTGCTGCAGATCAGGTTTCATCTGTGCGTGTGCGTGCGTGCGTGTGGGGGTGGAAAAACCGTGGCTTGAGTGGAGATTTACACCATTTTATCACCCCCCCCAGTCTGTGTGTGCACTTTGGGCTCCCAACCCTGAATTAGAAGATTCAAAAGTTGCATTTGACCATTTTTCATTCTTGATTTGCTGTTTTTGTTTTTATTGTAGGACCATTTTTACTAAACTTAATGTTTTAACTTTTTATGTGTTTTTATTTGTTTAATAAGCATTTCATTTGTTCATGTGCTCAGCACTTTAGTCTAGATGTTTGCAGTGATTTATATATTAAAAGTAAAAGCTGGTGTATGTCTGTGACCAGAAGGTCTCCGGTTCAAACCCCAGAACCAACAACATCAAATGTGTGCAGGAAACACCCACAGCTGCCTGCACCCTCATTTGTCCCGCTCTGGGCCCTTGAGCAAGGCGCCCTGGATGGCAGCTCTCTGCTCCACACAGAGGGCTGTGATAGATCTGTGGTTGAGTCGATAAGGACATCCGGCCTAAAACATTTGCCAAGTCTTTGTGCGGGTTAGTTCGCTGTGGAGCTCCTCAGCTGAAAGAAGAAAAAGTATTGATTGGCAAAATATGGCCCGCGGGCCAAAGGCGGCCCTTAGACAATCTCCATTCGGTCACCGATATCCTTTATTTAAAGACAAACACTTTTAAATAAGTTGATGAAAGCCTGTGACACTTAAACTTTTTATATTAAACTTTCTGGACAAATACTTAGAAAACTTTTGGATTAAGACTGACTAAAATCATTGTGTTTAGGTTGTTGCTTCTTTAGATAACTTAATAATTTTACTTTTTAATGTATGTGAATGTTTCTGTTCAGTGCCCTGAGATAACTTCTGTTAATTTATTTAACATCAAGTCACAACAGAACTGACTTGTGTTTAACCTCAGACTCATTTTTTCCATCCATTCATCATTTTTTACCGCTGGTGCCCATGTCCAGCAATCACAGGGACACCCTGGACAGGTCTCCAGTCCATCACAGGGACACCCTGGACAGGTCTCCAGTCCATCACAGGGACACCCTGGACATGTCTCCAGTCCATCACAGGGACACATGGAGACAAACAACCATTCACTCTCTCTCTCATAAAGACAATTCAGAGTTATCAGTCAGTCTAACATGCATGTTTTTGGTCTGTGGGAGGAAACTGGAAACCTGGAGAAAACCCACACATGCACGGAGAGAACATGCAAACTGCACCCAGGAAGGCCCCCGGACCGGGATTTGAACCAGCAGCCTCCTCTCTGAGAGGCAGCAGCTCTACCAGTTGCGACACCGGGCTGCCAGCAACTTTTTTTTTGTTAGTTTTTTCATATTTAAGCTAACAAAATTTCTTGTCACGAGCCAGTTCACATAAAGAAAAATCCTAAAACGTATTGAGGAGACATTTTATCAAACATGCCAACTTTGCTGCAACAAGGAAGAAGAAACAAAGTCTTTGAGATTATCTGTCTTTAAATTTATTTTAAGTTTTTTAATTCTCTACATGGCCCTCTGATTGCTTAAAATCTTGATTTGGTCCACTGCTAATAATAAT